CTCACTTGATAGTCACAATGTGCCTGGCAGGTAAACACAACAAAATTATCATTCCCTATCTTATAGAGGTAGAACTGGAAGCTTGGAGAAATTATCTGTAAATAACCTGTCCACATAACCTGTTCAATGGCATGGATCCCCCATAAAAAGCTATCTATAATACCTTAAACTTACGCATCTAAGAAGTACTTGAAACCCTGCAAAATAATAAAAACTGAGAAAGTCTTGATAGTCAACCATTTTTTTTAATGTGAAATTTAAGTTTGTCCGTTTCACACAAGCAATATAGTATTTTCTAATAATCCAAAAGGAACTTTTGCCTGAGAGTGTTACTATAATGTTCTCAGGGGCTATGAGACTACCTGTAGCTGAAAATATCCATTCCTTTGGGTATTTGAACAATTAAACTCCCTATAGAATCAGTATATTCCCTGCACATATCAAATTCTGCCAACATGAATCATTTTGCATCCAGGTTTCAAAGTACTGAGTGCCCTGTTTTAAAACCCTTTACTGAATCTTTACCATAAACTAAACACCCTTTTGAGTCTAAGAATACACAAATGATTAGAAGAAAATGTTAACTGCCACTAAGTAACTAACAGCCTTTGCCTGTGAAAATTACAATTTAGTATGACACTTCTAACAGAATTATACTGGGTCCTTTAAGAACACACAGATGAGGCACTGAATGCAGGCTGGTGGATTGCGTTGGAACCACCTCAGACCCAAGTCTTGCATAATAACCAACTAACACCAGCACTTCTCGCACACAGGGACGCATTAAACTGCTAATTCCATGCAGGGAACTTCAACTTCTTAAATAAGGCTGGAGCACCAAATATGAAGGGAGAGAAAGGCGAACAGTTTATCTAGAAAAAGGTAAATGAAACAGAGAACCCTATATATTGTCTAGCTAACTTTTTTTTGAGCACTTGCTATGTGCTCAAAAATTTAATCCTCACAACAACCCATTGAGCTAAGAATTATTTTGCAACTGATGTAAGAGGCAAGGAGAGGTTAGATCATCAGCCCATGTTACAGAGGTTTTAAGTGTCAGACAGAACTGGAACCCAGTTCAGATTAAATTCTAAATGTGAGCTCATAAACTATCCATTCTGCTGCCTCTCTTAATGAAGGCTGCTAGGGGGAGCCATTGAGAGGATTTGTAATGTAGGAGTGAAGTGACCAGATTTGCTCTTTAGAAAGACTAGAAAGTGGATAAAGGTAGTGAGTCTAAAAGCAGAAACTGCCAATGTCTATAGTAATCCAGCTGAGAAATTATGAGAGTATGAACTGTGGCAGTGAGGATGAAGGAGACAGATTCAAGCAATTTTTCCAGAAGAAAAAAAAAGATCTGTTGTCAGTGATTAAATGTAAAGGATTAGTGTGTGAGGAACCCAGAAACCTGACTTGGAGAACTACATAGGACATGATATCATCTACCAGGAATAGAAATGCAACAGGTTTTGTCATGTGTATGTATGTGTGTGTGTGTGTGTGTGTGTGTGCTCCCACATGCAGAATACTTTCCTAGGCCAAGGGGCAAGCCTTGTTAGAAAATATTCTTGGCAAAGGATCCAAAATATAAGGAATATTTAAAGTTAATCATTACTATTAATAACAGACTTAGCCTAGAGCCTAATGAAAGCATTTTGTACTACTATTTTTTAAAAATATTACCACATGCAGAAAACAAGTCACTAGAAGAAAAACATCCCATAATTTTACAATGTTATGACATTTGGGTTTGACAGACCTTTAGTCTCTTATACAACATGAACCCTAACAAACACATACACACCCTACCCTGTAATTTATTTTACTCCCCCCACCCCTAAACTTATAGGTGGGAAACTATCTGTTTTATTACCCATACTATAATACATATTTTGGGGATTTTTAACCCACTATCACCACTGTGACTTACCAAGAGCTTAGTTCATAACCTATCTGACTTCCTATAAAATAAGACCTATTTCACATCAGCTTAACTCAGTAACAATTCCTAGACTTTAACCACACTTTTCACCAAAGGATGCTCTCTGCAAATCCTAAAGCACAGCAATCCTGTGCAGATGTGGCAAGTTGTTTCAATTCCCATTTTACTACACAGTTGGGAAATTGGCCCAGGGGAAGTAGAGTAACTTGGAAATAATCACAAAGCCAGATGCCAAAAATAACAACTTTTAGTCAATCCATGAGAAAATACTGCCCCTAGTTGAAATAAAATGAAATTCAGTACTAGGAGAAAGCAAAATGCAAAATAATGTATTAAGCCAGGTCCCAGGGTTTTAAATTTTATTTTTAAAAATGACCAAATAGTAGAATTAAGACAATTTGCAAGAACTTTCAAACACACCATTCCCCCCCCTTATATCTTATCTATCTAGAGTGCCAAAAATGACTTAATGAATTACAGCTGGCAAGAGTGGCTTTTCTCCCATTTTTTTTCTTAGCCACTTAAGAGACACTGATAGAAATCTGTTAGCATAGGACAAGAGGTAACTTTTTAACAAAACTGTTTGAAATTTAACACATAGGAGCATATATTAGAATAATCTGAAAATACTGCAAGTGAACCTTGTATTTTTCCTACAAATATACCCTCTATAGACATATCTGCAATATGCATAACCAGTACATAAAGATTTAATCATCAATAATCAGAAAGAAAGTCTCCCAACCACAGCTCATGCCATATATTTCTAAATATGCGATTGCTTGATATAATCTAGTGTCGTTTGGTCATGACATACAGGTCTTACACACATTCTGAAAACAAAAAACACAACTTGTTTTGTACAAGTTGCTTTTATGATATCGGCATCCTTCTTATATGCACAAGTCCTTCTATTATTACAATACTTAACATTTGCTTATAGTGCAAAACAACAGTGTGCTCAAGATTTTACCTTCAAAAGAATGATTATACGCTAAGAACATGTAAGGTAAATAAATGAGTATTGGTAAAAATCCACTCATGGAACCCAGGCTGCAAATTTTCACAAAAGCCTCACACATTACTTATAAAACATGATTAAAATCCACACAACTAATTCTAATCACCGTCTTCAAATAAAATGCTTTCCATTACACCAACATTCCTCACACTAAATCCTGTATATCCTCTACTAGTAGCACTTTATATGGAACTCTAGTTTGTAAATCAAGTGACATTCCAAATGATTATATGGGTAACATGTCTTCTAAAAGTAATGCGGACCAACTAGTAGGGAGGAAATCCTGATAAATCTAACTAATACCTCTTATTCCCAGCATCAGAATATTCAGGTCCTTTAAATAGACCACACCACCCTCCTCCCACACCCCACACAACTCCAAGCTTTTAATACTACCATAACAATAAGCACTCTGAACATTTAAACCTCCTTTAACATTAGAAGTGCCAGCACCTTAAAACAATTACTTAAATGTCTTTCAGTGCATTTCATTAACGCATTCCACAAAGGTTCTAGAAGCACTATTCACCAACCAGAAACTGCAGTCTTTACGTGCTTTCTTCATTTAAACTCCAAAGATGGAGCAGAAGGGCTGTCATTAATCTACAGAGCAAAAACACTTAAGTGTAAACTACCTAATAACTAAGAAGAAATAAAACAATTTATAAGGAAAGATGCCTTCCTTTTTCCTTACGAAACAGGAGTTACTTCTAAAAAAACTGCACTCCATACCTATAGTCCAGAAAACGCTGACATTCTCCACCCCAATATACACAAGTTTTTATCAAAATGGACTTAACTGCTACTCACATACCAAATGAATAACCAACGTGGATATCTGAAATTATTCTCACACACCAACAGAAAAATAAGTGTCTTGCGTCTCTTCCAACCGTCCTACAATACCCTCAGGTAAGCCAAAAGCAAAGCTAGGACAGCTGCCCTTGGCCTAGGACGTCAGAAACCAAAGACCTGAAGGGGTCAGAACTAAAGACCCGATCTTTTTCCAGGGTTACTGTTTCCAAGCAAAACAGCCACAGACCCAAAGAGAAACGGTGAAGAAAACTGGGAACACTGTAATCCCGAGAGAAACTGGGGGGGGGGGGGGGGAGCTGCACGTAATCCCGAGAGAAAGGGGTGCGGAGAGGAGCGCAGAGGAGGAAAGTAAGTATCCCCATGCATCTTCAGACCCACAAAAATAACTAACTCTGGGGTCTACTGCACGTACAAGCACCAGATGGAGTCCCCTGGGCTGAGACAGTTCAGTTGACAAACACAGTGGGTAGTGGATAAATCAACTGATGATAGGAGGGGAATGGCGGGGGGGGGGGGTGCCAAGCGAAAAAGCCACTCAAAGAGTGGGGCAGACAAAGCCTCTGGGGGTGATAAAGGACCAAACAGAAAGGTGAGAGGGTAACACATGAGAAAAATAATGAAAAAAAAATTAAAAGAAAACCAAATCTGGTGTCTGGGCTGTGGCAGGTCACTGGGGTACCAAACAGAGAGAGAAACAACAAAGGGACACGGGAGGAAGAACAGATAAGCGGAGGTGATAGAGAAGGGATGCGGGGCGCGATGGATCGGACAAAGCGCCCAAGGCGGTGAAACAAAGGACCGGGGGTAGAGAGTAGCGGGGGGCAACAGGGGAAGACAAAGCGCCCGGGGCCGGGGGCACCGGCTGGGCGAGAAGGCGACGAGGACCCGAGGAACAAAGCTAAGCGAGGCTGGGAGGCTGGGGCGGGGGCCGGGAGGCGCGCGGTGGGCACGGTACCCCCAGGCCCCGTGCGCCCTGCCACACTCACGCCTGCACCCGCCCGCCTCGCCGCCGCCGCCCGCCCTCACGCACCGGAGCCCCAGCCACCGCGGCTCAGAGCGAGCAGCGCACCGCCACACGCCGCCGCGCTCGGCGCACGCGTCACCGCCCCCGCGGCCCCAAGACGCCAAGCGCGCCGCGGTCTCCGAACGTGCCGACAGCCACGGGCTGCGAGACGCCCGCAACTTTCCCTGTTCCCAGCGCTCCGATTCCCCCAGACTTACCCTGTCACAACAGGCGCCATCTTCCACAAACTCTCGCCAAAACTCCAACCCTCGCGAGATTCCCCCGACGCCTTCCCTGGTCCCTCTCCCCCGCCCCTTCCCTTTTTCCTCACTCCTGATTCCAACCAGCCCCCGTGCTCCCTTTCCCCTTCGCAGCCGAAGCGAACAGCCAGACGCCTCGCGCCGCCAGCGAAGTAGGGAATCCTGTCCGCTGCCTTCCCTGGAAACCTACCCAGGCGATGGAGCATGCGCACGCGGCTTCTCTGCGGGCGAGCCCTCTGTGAGGTCCATGGGGAGTGCTCCGGTTGTCCGGGTTTTGAGTCGCGCCCTAGGAGACGTACGTGAAGACTGAGGAAAACCGGAGGGGATTACAATGGGGACGGGGAATGGAGGGGTCAGGAGGCGGGGCCGAGGGGAAGGTCCTGGGAAAATCTGCCGCGTCTCACAGGCCTAGATGAAACACCTCCTCAAATGGGTGTTTTCCAAGTGGCTTCCCGCTCACTCTGGTTCCCAGCCCTTTTCATTCATTCAAATGTTCATTGGACGCCTCCTTTATGCAAATATCAGCTTTGGGTGCTGGAGCTACAGATGCCCGGAGTTCGAGCCAGTGACAAACCAGGAACTATCTTCGTTCTTGCACGCCCCGGTGCTAGAGGGGAGGACAAGTGTCCAACTTGGTTCGACCCTCCAGAACTCTGTAAATGGAAAACTTTTGCAGTTGAGCTCTGTCGCCTTAGCTTTCTGCTCCTTGGGCGTGAAATGAGGTCAGGCCAAGGCCTCTGGCAAAGGCATCCCTAACGTCCACCTCGCAGACACCCGCCAGAACGCCGTGTATTTTACTCGGTGGTGAAAAATGCGTTGCATTTGAGAGCAGCCACTCCCCAGTCTCGCGCTCCAACCGAAGGTCCCGCTTGGGCAGAGAGTTGCCTGCTGCGAGAGCCTCCCTAGGACCGCTCGCAGCCCTCAGCCGTGTGTGAACCCCGGTGTATTTGGGACAGACTCTGCCTAGGCTCTCCCGTAGGCCTGGCACACTGGACGTTGCCGAAAAGTACTTAAGTCAACCTAAGGTTGAAAGCCCGCCCCAACTCCAGAGCAAACTTGGACCTACTAGGCATTTAACAGTAAGGAGCAGGGCCTGAGCCCCGCCCCCCACCTGCAACACCCCTTTCTACCCCCCCCCCGCCCCGCAGCCCGTGCCCTTTCAATTCCTAGAGATTCCCAGAATCTGCCTCCCTCAGGGAGCCCCAAAACCCGGAGAACTGGAATCCGACGCCCGAAACCTGCCGAACGCGCAGCAGTACTGGCGCGGCACTGCGCATGTGCCCAATGCGGGCAGCCCAGTCTCACGCTACACCTCCTTCCCACCGCCTTCCACTACTCGACTCAGACACAACACGGGCCGTGGGAAATTTTGTAAACCTCGCGAGAACGCGCCCACTGTTGTCTATGGTTTCGCCCCAAATCTCGCGGAGCCCAAGCGGGACAGGTGTTTGTCTAATGCAGCTACGGGCACTATTTGTGCCGCGCGTGTCCGGACGGCGGGCGGTCGGCGCCAGCGGGGTGGGGAAAGAGCAGCTCGCCGCGGAGGCGGAGCGGGTGGGCGCGTGGCGGGGAGCGCTGGGAGGGAGGGAAGGAGGGAGGCCTGAAGGGGGCTCGACGTTTTGCACACTCTTGCCGCCTGACACTTTGTGGAAGTGGGTCGGTGCCGGGACGCGAGGTAGGGATGGCTCTAAACGAAGCGGGAGAAGCTTGGAGATAAAAAACACCTCTTGGTGCTGATGGTATGAGGTCAAATTCTGGGGCAGAGGAGCCCCAGGCTGATTACCTTGGGGAGGTTTTCTGTCGCCCTTCACAAGCCTGGTACTTTCCTAAAATGTGTTAGACAACTCGCCGCCTCCACCCCCGGCCCCCTCCGCTTCCGGAAGCTGGCGGCCCCAGAGTCGGGTTTGAGTCATGCATGCCCTGAGTCGCCTAGTCTGGCCACCACTTTTCTTGCTTTGAAACAAGTTAGTATTCTCTTAGCTACTCTCTTCTAGCAATTGTTTTTTTTTTTTTTTTCTTTCTACTCTACCCGCTTTCCTCACGATCGGGTCACGGGATGGAGGACGACGGGTAAGCAAGCTACTCACTGCGCTCTTGCTCTGTTGCCTTGTATAGATTCCGCCTTCCATTCAGGGACAGTTTTTTAAATCTCAGCCCTCACCTTAACTAATCTCTTCCTAGCCTTTTAAAATGATCCTTATATAACTGTCCTTTTTTATTTTTTTCTCTTACTAATGACTTAAAATACTGGATTTGCTTTCCTTCACTTTTGTGTTTGACAAAATATTCCATTTTAAGTATTGTTTCATCAGCAGTTTTAGTGACAATTATTTTTAAAATGCATCCCTTCCGTTTGAATTATTTATTTGTCCATTGAATTCTTGGTTACATTCTCCAGACACATTTCAGATTGCCCTAGTGTACCAGCCTAGCCTAGCATTGACCAGGAACTGGTGTCCTAGTGACATCATAGACCCACAAAAGTAGAATTGAGTTCACTTTTGAATTTTGGAGGACAGTGAGTCCCATTCTACTGGTTATGTAGTGAACAAGAAATCTTTTTGAGTTGTTTTTCAAGGTTGTTAGTTGTGTGTGCATTTATCCCTTCAATTAAGTATTTTACACAGCCAAAGAAGATACAAGGACATTTAATGCAATATGTCAGTGCAGGTCTGATCTGGAACAAGATAGCTCAGGAGGAGGACAATGCCCAAGAGCACACATTCCTTGGAGACTCTGTCCCAAGAAGGCATTGCAACCGAGGTTTAGTTCAGGACATTAATCTACTTTGAAACGATGGCCATCTGAGAACCAACCATGAGAAACCATGGGAACCACGAATTAGATCACAACTCGTCTTCACCCTAAAACATGTTCATCTCGCATTCCAGTAAATGACAACTCCATCCTTCTACTTATTTAAGGCAAAACCTTGGAGTCATTCTTGCCTGCTTTTCCTCTCACATCCAACATCCAATATAACAAAACCACACTGGCTGTATTTTCAGAATATGACCACAATCCCAACAGGCCCACACCTCCACCTCTACCAGCCCGGTCTAATCCATCTCACTTCTCACATGGTTTACAGGAAGTCTCCTAACTGGTTCTCTCTTCTTTCATTCCTCCCTTCCTTCAGTCTGTTCTCAATAGAGCATTCAGAGTAACCCTCTAGAACCTCCTGCTGGTTTTTCCATTTCACTTTGAAGACCTACACAGTCTGGCCTGCCACCCCAACAAACCAGCCACCTGCATGCTGCCCACCCGCTCTGCCTCCCTGACCTCATTCACCTCTTCTTCCTCTTCCCCTTGCTCAATGAGCTCTGTCTAACCAACAGCCCCCCTTGCTGTTCCTAGAACTTAATCACTCCCGCTTTTGCTCTTTCTCTCAGATGACTTCTGGCTCATTCATTCACTCTTTTCAGGTCTCTGCTTAAATGTCACCTCAGTGAGGCCTTGTGTGTCCACCTTTCACAAAAGTGACTTCTCATACTCCTTATTCCCTCCTTCATTTTTCCTACAGCTCTTATCATAAGCTAACATACTATATATCATACCTGTGTATTGCATTTACTCTCTGCCTCTTCCCATTATAACATAATCTTAAGGGCAGGGACTTTTCTTTATTTGTTTCATTGTTCAAGCCTCAGCCGCAGGAACAATGACCGGTGGTGCGTGATGGACACTCAGTAAGCATCCGTAGAATGAATTGATGTCTTCCATTTTAGAGTGGAATGGAAATGATTCTGAGGGCTCAGTAAGCCTTCTAGGATGCAAACCAGTGTTGGAGTTAGACCAGCAGTGATCCCCCTCAGTGCCAGCTTGCCTGCAGAGGAGAATGGAGCCCACAGGGCAACCACCTGTGTTGACTTTTTGCCAGAAAGTTCTTACTCCTGGGTTAGACCAGTAGATGAGCCTAGACTTACTCAAAGGTTTTCCAGTACTCTCCATTTTAGAACCTCAGTGGAGAAAACATTATCAGCAGGATATTTTTTTAAAAAACAAATATTCTCATGTGTAGCTAGTGGGAGTGAAAATGGCTGTAATCTTTATAAAAAACATTTTGATAAAATTTATCATTACCTGTTAATCCTACAGTTCCATTTCTAGAAATCTGTTTTATAACTATACTCACACATGTGTGAAATTACTTACACTGCAGCACGATTGATGGGAGAAAATATGTAACCTAATTGTCGATCAAGAGGTATCTTATTTTTTAATCATGATATATTTATAAATTTTAATAGGTATGCATTTGTTAATAAGCCAAGGCTACTTTTTATGCACTTAGGTGGAAGGATTATAAGCTTGAAAAAACAACGTATAAAGTAGTGATAGATAAATATATACTTATTTGCCTATATGTATCTAAAATGGCTTTGGAAGGACACACTAAAAACTGTAACAGTGACTACCCAGCTCTAAGGGACTCAAAGGCTGGACGACGCAGGGGAGGAGGTGGCTTGTCTCACAGCCAGCTATCTTGGATCCTTGAATTTTGTACTGAGTGCATATATTGCCTATTCAAAATATTAAAAAAAAAATTAAAAAGGGAGAAAGAAAGAAAAGGAGTAAATGTGCAAGAAGAAATAATTGACCAAATAAAATTGTTTCCTTTCTTCCACTTGCTAGAAAACTATTTTCTAATAGAAGTTATGAACATGGTATACCATCTCAGTAGAATTAAGAACTGTAGAACCGTCAGCACTTTGCCCCAGGCATTTGGTAACACTGAATTCACTGTTCAAACAGCAAGTTCAGTCTTGATTTGTGATAGTTTACATCAGGCATAATCTTTGGTGGTTTACGAATATGGATAATGCAGAGACCTCAGGGGACTTCCTGGCTAACAGAGTACAGGGACTAGTTGCAGTACAACTCCAGGATAGAGAACTGAGTTTAATGACACTCGGGTACAATGGAAGAAGTACATAACTCTTGCCTGGTGGGCCCAGGGAAACCTTGCAGAGGTGATTTTTGAACTCTTAGTGGAGTGGGAGTTCCAAAGACAATAGGAAAAGGAAGCATGAGAAACACAGGAAACAGCTTGT